AATCTCTTGATATCAAGGAGAAATATTCTCATTGTTTTTATGGTAGATTAAATCCAATGGCAACTGGTATCTTGAGGTCTGCTGACAGGGAATGTCACAATTTCTTGCTTTAATCTATTTACCTCCTGAATTAACTTGACATCTGTTGATAGATATATTCCTGTACACTAAACTCACCCCAAACAGTTCTTTTGTCAGGTCTCACATTTCGGCAGCGAATGTCTTTTCTTGCATTTATTCCCATTGGAACACATTTCATTAAAATATTTCACAACCATTTGTCCCTCAATTCTTCACATAAATGTCTCAAGATTTGTGGGATATGGTATGACATATTTAACTATTATATATAAAGGATATATTTAGTAGGAGGGCAGTAGATAGCACCACATTTAATTAAAATCTGGTTAAAAGAAGTCCAAAGCCATGTACTATCCACTGCCATTTTCAAGGAAGGCTCCCCTGCTGGTAACAAACTGTACAGGTTGATCTACTGAAAAATTTTGCCATACAGTTCAGAGATCTTTGCCTATATTCCAAATACAGTAATCCTCTTAGGCTTCGTTCCCAGCAAAACCAAAACCAGAGCAGAAGCAAGAGGTTTTTAGACTTTCATTGAAGGAACACATTAACAGCTGATGTGATTTGATCTAGAAAGACTTTAAAAGTATCTGTCAAACGAGACAGACAGTCAAACACTGCTACCAACTCCTATTTCTATTGGAAGAGGCCACAAGCTCCTAACTAAAAATGCAAATGACCTGATACTTTTCTGAATGTGGTGCTTGTTTTGGTTTAAGTATTTTGATGTACAGTGAAACTCAGTTTAATGTGCAATGATTTTATCAATACAGTGCAGAAACGGATTTAACATCAGTTTAAAACCTTGAATATTTAGTCACAGGTGTCAAGTCTTTATTTCTACTTCAAGAAAACATGATTTAGACTTTTGTGGAGCAGATTTAGAAATGGGCTTGCTTGAACCTCTGCTGCAGGACTGTTCCAGTTCTGAATGATACACAGGTCTTGTAACTCTACCAGTAAGAGTAAAGAGTGGACACAGGTTTCATTACACACTGATTGACAGAGTATTTTGCTAGCTGCATTCAGTACAAATAAGTGAAAGAAAAAGGCGAATCTAAAAATAGTCAACCATCCCGGATGTAAAACTATGAAATCTTGGTGCAAAATTCAGAGATGACCAAGAAACTAAAACTGAATGAAAATGATGGACATCAACTACGTATTAATTACTTTAGGCAGTGAAATCTTTCAACCTCCATGCAGCATGGAAACAAAATAACACAGCAATATGTGAAAGGGGGATTAAATAAATGCCTCCAGTGTGGTGTAACATTCCCTTTCTCGTTCCTACTTTCCTGGATGACCTTCACATTAGCACAGCTCTTAGCCATCAGCTTGATCAGGTTAATAAAGTGGCAGTCAACAACTCAGTGAATACAGGGGATTTTTGGCTGGCCAGTACTGGCAAAAGGTAAGAGGCCGTGGATTGGAGAGATCTGGGGGACTAGGCTCTAGAAAATTCTCTTATCATATATATATACACACCAGACTTTGAAGAATACTAGTCCAATCAATTCTTCTACATTCTTTGATCTACTACCTGGAAGAACACATAATTACATAAGACCTCACCTCAAATGTTCCCCTAATCCTATTTCTTGAAAATTCATATCCCTTTCTGTCAGCCTACTTTACTTTTAATGTAGTTTAGTTTTAAGTCAAAACATATTGACTTAATTTTCTTTCCTTTTTTTTTTTTTTCAAATGAAAAACGAAATTCAAGGACAAAAGGCAATTAAGCTGCCTTTCCAAGTAAGGGAAAAATCCTAAGTAGTCAGAGCTAGATTTGATGACATAGAAGTCATGCTGTGCCAATCCAAGGGAAAGAAAGCTAGTATGTGACCTTGTGGTAAGGGGCAAGAAGAGAGATGAGCTAACCTTGTGTTGACATGATCATCATTGAAGGACTTGGGATGAAAGCTTACTTATCAAGTGAGGTGCAATTAAGAAGAATAAATCATGCATTGATGTACTACAGCACCCAATGGTAGAACTTTTTTCCAGTGTAAAGCAAAATAGCATCTACCAGTACATCCATCTAGCATGACTTTGAGGGCTCAGGAATCTCCAGGCACAGACAGAATAAAATACTTACACCTCACAAAGCAGCCAAGGCTACACCTTATTTGGAGCTAGTATCTCTGAGAGAACAGACCTTAAAAAGCTTAACAAGGCAGTCTAGCAACACTGTTACCTTATCAAGCAAACTGTGATGCCTCAGAACTCAGCTGCATTTCCCTCACAGTCTACTCAATCACAGCTTCTCTTCCACTCACTGATGCTTCAGAAGAGAACTCATGCTATCGAACTACCACATGCTTCAGTTCAGCTGTTCTAGCACTGGTCAGATGCATTTTTTGCCTCTTCTCCTTTCTATTTCCCCTTTTGTTGTCTTTTATACTACCATTCTCTGCTTAGTTATATAGTCCTTCGAGCAAGCAGATGAGTCCCAGAGCTTTCAGCCTTCTTGCTGTATCCCACAAGCTTATATACATGCATTCACAACACATTTGTTGCGTACATACACAACTCTGACCTAATTTTATAATCTCACTCAAATCTTACCCTTCTTCCTTTCCCAATATTGTTACCCACTTGCATTTTACCAAAGACTTAAGAGCTATTTTCTTATTCCTGGGGCTTTGAGTTTCAAGTTTTTCAAAGCAGCAGCTGTCACTAGCTTTCACATAAGCATCTAGTGTACCTCTGCTTTTGCTAAAAATAGCAAGAGCAAACAGAGGCAGTGGTCTCCAATGAGTAACACCTCATTTAAGCAAACATACCTTCCATGGCTTCCATTTCCTTAGCTCTCAAGGAAATTTTTTCCAGCTTCATTACTACCCTTTCTTAGATACTCTTTATTAACTCTATAGATACTTTCAAAACGAATGATAACACTACAATCAATTGACCACCATAATCAGCAATACATGGTAAAAGTATGTGCTGAAAGGTAATCTATGTCTAATATGCAACAGCATCTAAAAGAAAAAGTGGCACCAACTGATAACCTTCAGAAAGGTTCAGAAAGGAAAATAGAAAACCAACCTGAAATGCGCATCAAGAGAAGCAATTTAGTCACAAAAACCAGTGGACCAGAGAAAAGGATACACCTTGTACACTGTCTTCCACATGATACTGATTAAAGCTTTGACTCCCCAACACACAAAAAGAAAATAGGAACTTGTTTATGTTTTGAAACCATACTAACAATTTTCATCTTCACCAAAATACCAATTTTAATATTTCTGCCCTTCCCTTGTGGAAAATATTTCTTTCAAAATACACATTCTTACGTAACAAAGGCATACTTAAAATAACACACACCACCTAGTAACTGATTTTGCACCACTTCATCCACTGGTAAAATACATTCACACTGTTCCTAGATAAATTGCTATACTACTAAAAATTCTGGAACTTAAAACTGCTTTTCTCAACAGCAGATACAAAGCTCTAATTCATACTTTACAGAAGTAAAACTAAGATTTCAACAGCATAAAAGGCAGGAAAACTTGCACTTAATATCCACATATTTGGTGTTCAGATTTATGCCTAAGCATCTGTGGTTACTACTAACTTATCAGTCACCAAATACTGAGTATCTGCAGAGATAATTTGGCATCTATTAAGAAAATGAGAAAAGTTTCAAAGCCTCAACAATTCGATGACTTGTTTACTATCCTATTCATGACTACTGAACTGCAGCCACCAATATAAATTTTGAGAAATTAAATGCCAGTATCAAAGAAACAGCTGCTAAATCCCACAAAGTAACAATCTTACTTCCAAATCTCAGATTTCATCCTTTTCCCTCCTATATGCTTTAATCACTGCAAAAAGAACTCAATTCCTCAGTGTCATCTGCTGTCAGATACTGATATTTCTATTCTTCTGTATTATAAGACCTTGAACTCCAAAAAACTCTCTCAGAACAAAACCACCAATGCTTCAACACTGTGCTTAGCAATTTCCACACACCCCACAGCAGGACAGTATTGTTCCACCACAGACAAACAAGCAGATCTTCAGTTAAGACTTTTACAGGCAAGAATTCTATTAGACAATTCAAGTAGGGATAGCTAGTATTTCAAATATTCTAAGGGGAATTAGGAGAAAAAGCATACTTTGTTTTAGGAAGGAAAAAACCCAAAAGAATTAGGTTAGAGTTGTGTACGTACATAACACAAAAATGCTGAGGACAAAGTATTACTTTTTCTGCAATATGCCTCCTCCCACACATTAACTGGAAAACTTATGCAGCATGTTAAAAACATACAACTGTTAAGAAGAAAAATAATCACAATCTGGGCAGACTCTGCAGCTGCCCCTTTGACTTATCAATTTCAGTAAGCACAATTTCAATCAAGTCTAGATAAAATATACTAATCCTAAATAGACCAAGTTTGTCACCTACCACTTCCTATAAGCTGCTTACTATCCTGAAAAAGGGAGAGAGAGAATAAATGCTAAATTAAATGCCAAACAGTAGCAGACAGCGCTTGTTTGGCTGATTAACTTGTAGACAAGCATTACAAATAAATCTGAGCATGGTCTGCAGCAAATTAAATTCCAGTGCTTTTAAGAACAAAGAATTCCTTCGGAAAG